AGGGAAGCAGCCCCGGGGCTTCCCCCTGACTCCCAGCTCAGTCTGAAAACTGAAAACTGAGAACTTCTGCCAAGCTGGGCAGTCCTTCGTGGGTTGTTTTGGTTTGTTTTTTTTTTTTTTTTTGTTTGTTTGTTTGGTTGGTTGGTTGGTCGGTTGGTTTGGTTTGGTTTGGGTTTTTTTGTTTGGTTGGTTGTCCCCACAGCACCCCTGGAACGGCCCTGTGGAAAATGCACATTTTATTATTGGCTCTTCACAAATGTTACAATGAATATTATATGTGTAATGTTAGAAAGTTATGCTGTATTGTCTTAAGTAGTGTGTGAAATATAATTTTAGGTTATAACACAATGTAAAAATAGAAACTCTGCTATGTAAGATACTTTTTAACTTGCTCAAGAAAGATATGAGATCAGCAAGAAATTCTTTGCACAGAGATAACAGCAACAGGGCACATAAAGGTTTACAGCCTCCTTATCAGAACAAACATTCTTCCACCTTCTCTCTGTCTTTATGGAACCACCAGGATTAAGGGGAAGAAGCTGACAAAAACCAGAAAAATTATTAATTTGCAAGGAGTTTATGCATCATGTATGAGATATATGAATATGCAACAGGCTGTTTCTTTTAAAAGTTATTCCTTTGTTTACAAGGCGTGCTTTAGGCAGCTCAGTGCCCAAAAACATCTGGACATCCATAATTCTTTGCTTTTTATTGTCTTGTAATTGTCCTAACTCTAAACTTTTATTACTCTAATTACATTACTATTTTTATGACCATTTTATTATTAATATTCAACTTTAAAGATGCTAAAACCAAGCGAGTGGCGTTTCCCAGAGCCCTGTGGGTGCAGGACGGGGCTGGGTGAGGGAGCGGCTGCGGCCGGCGGGGCTGACCCGTGTGGGTGATGCCCTGGTGATGCCCTTCTCCCCCAGCAGGCAGAGGCACCAGGCCCGCTGCTCCAGGTGCCCTTCCTCCCTTCCCAGGCCCTTCCAGGAGCCTGCTGGGTGCCACTGGAGCCCGGGGGAGGCTGCTGCTCCTGTCCGAGCTGGGGCTGCTGCTGCTGCGCCGGAGCCACCAGTGAGCTCCTGCCCCCCCTGTGCAAACCCCGCAGCGGGAATATTTCTGTGTGCTCTGGGCTGTCCTGAGCCCCGTGCAAACCCCGGGCATTGGGAATATTTCTGTCTGCTCTGGGCTGTCCTGAGCCCCGTGCAAACCCCGGGCAGCGGGAATATTCCTGTCTGCCGGGCAGCGGGAATATTTCTGTCTGCACTGGGCTGTCCTGGGCCCCAGGGCAGCTCTGACTCTGACCTCACTCACGGAGAAAACTCCCAAAGCCTCAAGGTAAACCAGAAATCACACAAGTGTGAAATGGATTGTAGAGATTGTAGAGAGTAGTGCAGTGTGTCACAGGGGTGAGAAATTTAGGTTTGGGAGTTTTAGTGTGCTATAGATGGGTGCAACATGGAGGGTACGGGGTGTTGTCTCACGTTCCTTTCTTCTCTCTTCTTCTTCCTCTTTCTTCTTGGGTTTAGGTGCGATCTTGTAATTGGGCAGAAAAATGTGTCCTGTGTCCATCTGTCCCTGTGTGTCCATGTCCCTGTGCCCATCTGTCCATCTGTCCCTATGTGTCCATCTGTCCCTGTGTCCATCTGTCCCTGTCTGTCCATGTCCCTGTGTCCATCTGTCCATCTGTCCCTACGTGTTCATCTGTCCCTACGTGTCCATGTCCCCTTGCCCATCTGTCCGTGTGTCCATCTGTCCATCTGTCTGTCCCTGTGTGTCCACGTCCCTGTGTCCATCTGTCCCTATGTGTCCATCTGTCCCTGTGTGTCCATGTCCCTGTGTCCGTCTGTCCGTCTGTCCCTGTGTCCGTCTGTCCCTGTGTCCGTCTGTCCCTGTGTGTCCATCTGTCCATGTGTCCATCTGTCCATCTGTCCCCGTGTCCGTCTGTCCCTGTGTCCATCTGTCCCCGTGTCCATCTGTCCCTGTGTCCGTCTGTCCATATTTCCCTGTGTCCATCTGTCTCTTCGTCTGTCTGTCCATCTGTCTCTGTGTCCGTCTGTCCCTGTGTCCATCTGTCCCCGTGTCCATATGTCCCTGTGTCCGTCTGTACATCTGTCCCTGTGTCCGTCTGTCCCTGTGTCCATCTGTCCCTGTGTCCGTCTGTCCATCTGTCCCTGTGTCCGTCTGTCTGTCTGTCCCTGTGTCCGTCTGTCCCTGTGTCCATCTGTCCCCGTGTCCGTCTGTCCGTCTGTCCCTGTGTCCATCTGTCCATCTGTCCCTGTGTCCATCTGTCCGTCTGTCCCCGTGTCCCGTCCCGCCGTGCGCGCGCCCGGCACCGGGGGGGCGTGGCCGGGGCGGCTCCATGGCCACGCCCCCCGAGGGACCGGCGCGGCGGCGGGCGCTGATTGGCTGCTGCGCCAGGGGGCGTGACCAAAGCGGTGCCGGATCTCGGCGCGGCTCCGTCCTGGTCCCGGTCCCGGTCCCGCTGCCGCTGCCGGTGCCGGTCCCCGTCCCGGTCCGGGCCCGCGGCGCAGCAGCCCGGGATGGCGGCAGAGGCGGGCGGCGCCGCGGGGAAGCGGCGGATCATGTGCGTGGGGCTGGTGTGCCTGGACATCATCAGCGTCGTGGAGGCTTTCCCCGCCGAGGATTCCGACACCAGGTACCGGCACCGGGGCATCCTCCGGCGCCCCCAAGCCGGCCCCGCGCCCACCGCAGCTCTCGCCCCGCAGATGCCTGTCACAGCGGTGGCAGCGCGGCGGGAACGCCTCCAACTCCTGCACGGTGCTGTCGCTGCTGGGAGCCCCCTGCTCCTTCATGGGCTCGCTGGCCCCCGGTCCCGCCGCTGAGTAAGTGGGGTGCGGGACTCCGCACCGGCGGGGCACCGGCCCGAACCGCCCTGACACTTCGCTGGCCCCTCCGCTTTGCTGCCGCCGGCCTTGACCTTCGGCGCGGCCGCGGTTCGCCGGCTGCCCGCCCGCCTCCGCCGCCGCCGGCAGCGCCCGCCGCTCCCGTGCGCCCCTCACGCCGCTCTCTGTGCCCCAAAGGTTCATCGCGGCGGATTTCCAGCGCCGGGGAGTGGACACGGCGCACGTGGCGTGGCAGCCCCGCGGAGAGGTGCCCTGCGCCTGCTGCCTCGTCAACGCCGCCAGCGGCTCCCGCACCATCGTCCTGCACGACACGTAAGGGACAGCCCGGCCCCGCCGCCCGCGGCAGCGCGGGGCTCCGCCGCCTGTTCCAAGGGTCCCTCCCGCTGCCTGCCGGCGGCTACCGAGTGCCGGATGGGGCCGGTGGCCGTACGCCCGCAGACACTGTCGCCGCCGGTGTCCCTGCAGCCCTGTCACCTCGGTGCCGCTGCCGGGACCGGTGCTGGTGTCTCCACACGGCCACGCTCTGGAGCAGGACGGGCGGCACGGCCCCGTGGGGATAACCGGGCTCCTCGGCCGTGCCAAAGGGTCAGGGACTGTTCGGCACGGCTGACCGCCCGGCCCCAGCGTGGCCACCGCTGCGCTGCCCTTCGAATCCAGCTCAGGGTCCCAGGCGCCGTCATTAATGATTCACTCGGGCACTGCCTCCTCGGGACCTCTGCTCCCATGGCGTGGGGCCCTCCACGGCCCCTGGAACTGCCCTTCGCCCCGGGCCCGTGCCAGGCGGAGGGTCCCCATCTCCCACCTGGCCTCCGTCCCACAGGAACCTGCCTGACGTGACAGCCCGTGACTTCGAGAGGGTCGACCTTTCCCAGTACAGGTGGATCCACTTCGAGGTGAGCCCGAGGCTCAGCTCGGCGGGTTCCAGGGTCTGGGGGATCCCCAGCGCTGGGGAAAATCCCTCGGTGATGCCTGGGACCAGAAGGAATCTCTAGGTCTGGGGACATCCCCAGTGACGGAGCATCCCCGGGACCGAGGGGGCCTCCCGGGACTGGCGATCCCCCGGTGATGCCGGAGCCGTGTCCGCAGGCCCGGAACGCGGTGGAGCAGGGCGCGATGCTGGAGCGGGTGGAGCGGCACAACCGGGCGGCGGCGCCGGGGCAGCGGGTCGGGATCTCGGTGGAGCTGGAGAAGCCGCGGGAGGAGCTGCTGCCGCTGATGGGGCGAGGACAAGTGGTGCGGGGCCGGGGCGGTGGGGCGGGATCGCCTGTCCCCATGGCCTGTCCCCATGGCCTGTCCCCATGGCCTGTCCCAATGGCCTGTTCTGCTCTAGGGGTGCAAGCGGGGTGTGGGGATGCCACCAGGGCACAGATCTAATCGCACCTGGCTGGGGGTACCGGGGGCTGCCCCCGCCCCAGCCCCTCTCCCACAGGTGTTCATCAGCAAGGACCTGGCCCGGCACTTCGGGTACCAATCGGCCCCCGAGGCGCTGCGGGGGCTGCGGGGGCGCATCCAGCCAGGGTAGGGGTGTACCTGAGAGGGGCCGGGGGCACACGGTGTGCCCCAGACCCACCTCACGCTCCCCCAGGGCCACGCTGATCTGCGCCTGGGCTGAGGAGGGGGCTGATGCCTTGGGGCCCGACGGGGAGCTAGTGCACTCGGACGCCTTCCCCCCAGAGACCCTCGTGGACACGCTGGGGGCTGGGGACACCTTCAATGGCGCCGTCATCTTTGCGCTCGCAGAAGGTGGGCACAAACACAGCACAGCCACAACACGGCCATGGTTCAGTTTGGCACGGCCACGGCACAGCCACAGCACGGCCACGTCTCATCCTGGGCCCCATCCCCAGGGAAGACCCTGCAGGATGCCCTCACCTTCGGCTGCCGGATCGCGGGCAGGAAATGTGGGATCCAGGGCTTTGATGGCATTGTCTGAGCGTGTGCCTGGAGACCTCTGCACCCCCCAGGCACACCACTGCACCCTGAGACCTCTCCACATCTCCACTGCACCCAGCAACCCCCCAGTAAAACCCCACATGCACCACTACTGCCTCCTGTGTCCCCTGGCTGTGCCCCCCGTGCCCTGGCTGGGGTCCCACTGCGCCAGGGATGCACTGACCACAGCCAAGGTCACCAGCAGTGCCTCTATTTCTCCATCCGATACATTACAGAGGAGGTCACACAACCCCAGCCCTTCTCGGCCCCAGCAGCCTGGCCAGGAGCCATTCCCGTGCCAGTCTGTGCCCTGAGCAGGGCAGGGAGCAGCCGGGGCATTGCATCCCACAGCCCCCACTGCCTACCCCTCCCCATGGTCCCTCCAGGCTGGGACTGCCTGCTCCTCAGGGGTTTCAGCCTCAGGGGCTTCATCTTCCTCTGTGGCATCAGTACTGGGGGCTTTGGCCCCAGGGACGACTTCTGCCTCCAAGGCCTCAGCATTGGGAGATTCCACCTCGAGGGATTCCATCCTGGAGACTCCATCTGCAGGGTCTCCTTCCTCAGGAGCTCCAGTCTGGGGGTCTCCAGCCTCAGTGGCTGCCTGTCCTGGGCTGTCCAACCCCAGGTCCTGCCTGGGCATCTCTGTGCCCCCACCAGGCACAGCCCCAACCCCTGCCTGCTGCTCTAGCGGGGGCTGTCCTGGGGGACCCTTGTCCTGACCAGGCAAGAGCACCTCAGGGGGGTCCAGCAGCTCGGAGGGGGCCAGCAGCCCATCCCCATTCAGGTCCTGCCTTGCCAGGGCTTGGTCCACCAGTGCAGCCACCTACGGGGATGGGGAACAGGATGAGGGCTCGGCCCAGGGGCCCAGTGGGGCATGAGGAGCCATCCCTGTGTGACCCACCATGTCAGGGTCTGGCTGCCCCCCAGCCTGTGCCAGCACCGTGCCAAGTAACTGCAACAGCTCCAGCCCATCCAGCTGCCTGCTCTGGTCGTGGTCATGGAGCACGAAGAGGTAGAGCAGGGCTGTGGGGCACGGGATGCTGTGGGGCCGGGGTCCCTGGCCCCACCAGCCCCTCAGCCCCCATCACCACCCCGGCGGCCTTACCCTGCTCCCGTGTCATGGCCTCCACGTCCTGCTCCGGCGGCCCCAGGCTCCGCACTGCGCTCCACAGCAGCCTGGGGGGAGCAGGGCTGGGGTGGGGAGCACTGCACTGCCTCCTGGCCATGGCCCACCCTGCCCCGCGCCCAGCTGGGCACTGGCCATGCCCCCACCCGGCTCGGTGCCCCCCAGCCCCAGCACACAGCCCCGGCCATGGTGGGGGTCCCGGTGCTGTGGGGCTCCCCAGGACAGGGACTCACAGCAGTGCAGGCGACTCCGGGCTCAGCGAGTCAGGATACGGATCCACGACTGTGGCCACGGGGGGCTCAGGCCTGGCACACAGACAGGGTGGGTTACCTGTGCCCCCGGGGGGCTGCCCACTCCGGCCTGACGCCCCCCACCCGCGGCCCTGCAGATCCATGGGTCCCGGCCCTCACTGTCAGCTCGGACCCCTGCGCTTGTCCCTCCCATGGCCACCTTGTACTCCACTCGCACCTGTGCCCCTGTGGCCACGAAAACACCACCGCTCTGCCTTCCCTCACCTGTGCCCCCGTACCTGTCGGTGCCCGCCCTGGGGGCGGCCCAGGCCGCCGGCCCCAGCAGCAGCAGCAGCAGCAGCAGCAGCATCACCGGCGCGTTCCTCATCCCGCGACCGCGGGCTGCAGCGGGACGGGAACACCGGGATCGGGGCTGGCCCCCGGGGGTCGGTGGGAGGGCCCGTGGGAACCCGGCGCTGGGAGAGGCGCCGGGGCTCCGGGAGCTGCCCCGGTTCCAGCACGGCGGGAAAGGTGCGCGGGGCACGCAGAGCGCGTGGGACCGGCCGGCGCTGCCCACCCAGTGCAGCCCCCGGTACCCACTCACCCCGCACACGCCCACCCCGGTACCGCCGGTGCCTCCCGGTACCCACTCACCCAGCCCCGTCCGCGTGTCGGTGCCGCCCGCCCCGCCCCGGGGCCACGTCGCCGGCACGGCCCGGCCCTGCCACCGCGGCCGGGAGCGGCCCCGCCCGGCCCGGCCCGGCCCTGCCCGGCCCGCGGGGTGCAGGGATTCAGCCGCACCAGGGTGTCCCGGGGCTAACCGGGACTAACCGGGACCCGGCCCTCCAAACCGGGGCCCGGGACGGGCGCGTGGTCACAGCAGGGACGGGGCCACGCCGGTGGGTGAGACCCCCCCGAGCCCCGCACGGTCCCGGGCAGAGCCGGGCCAGCCCAGCATCACCGACCCCCGGACCCCGCAGCAGCAGCGGCCCGTGCCGGTACTCCGGGCCCCGCGGGTCGGGCAGCCAGCCCCGGTGCCACAGAGCAGCCCCGGTGCCACAGCCCGGCCCGGAGTGCCATGCCCTCAGCCCCGCTCCCCCAGCACACGGGGACAACGCTGCCTTCATGCTCCAGTTTAATGGCAGCAGCAGGGCGGGGGGCAGCAGGACCCTCCTCTCCTCTCCTGGGGTGGGAGACGCCCCTGTCCCGGGGCCAGCCCCGCACCGCTGCCAGCACAGTCCCGCAGGGACGGCGCCCTGCGAGGCTCCCTGGACCCACATCTGCTCCCCGAGCGCCAGCGGGGACAGCGGGGCCAGGGCTGGTCCCTCGTGTCCTTCACAGTCTGTCTGGGGGAGGTGGAGGCTGGGGGGTCGCTCCTGGTGCCAGGGGGTCCCTCCGGGGGACTACAGGAAGCCTGGGAAGGCGAGCTGCAGCAGCAAGATGGTGACCACGATGAGCCCGGCACAGAGCAGCAGCAGCAGCCAGACGGGGAGGGAGCCTGTGGGACAGGGACGGGTGAGAGGCGGCTGCAGCCCCCCCGTGCAGAGGAGGAGCAGAGCTCAGCCCCACGGGCAGCCCCCCGGACGTACGGCGGGTGGGCAGCAGGTGCAGTTTGCAGCGGCTGTCCACGGCCACGCTGAGCAGGGCGGCCTCGTGGCCCCCCAGCAGCTCCCGGCCGGGCCGGCTCTCGGGGACGAAGGCCACGTCCGTCACCACGATGCCGTGGGCCTCCTTCACGTAGTACAGTCTCTGTGGGGACACAGGAGGTGAGGGCTGCTGGGGGCCAGCGGGGCTGCCCCACAGCCCTGCCCCAGCTCACCTGCAGTGAGAAGGCAATGTGGATGGCCACGGAGCCGGTGACCGTGCCCAGCCCCAGGAAGGTGCCCGAATCACTGTGGGGGGAGGGTAGTGAGTGGGGGCTGCCACGGCCCCCACCCCATACCCACTGGCCCTGGGCTACCTGATGGAGAGGCAGGAGACCACCTCGGAGCCGCAGGGCCGCGTCAGCAGCGGCAGGAAGCTCTTCCCATCCCACTTGGTCAGGTAGCAGGGCGGGGGGCGGCGCTCCCGCTTGTGGGGCACCTGCACCGTGTAGAGCCGCAGAGCCCCGGCACTGCCCTCCACGGCCCCGAACCTGCCGCAGGGGAGAGGGGCACAGGGGGAGGATGGGGCACGTGGGATGCAGCCCATCACCACCACCACTCTCCCAGCCCAAACCCAGCCCCAGCCCCCTCCCATGTATAAGGCTGTCAACAGAGCCCAGATCTTTTCTCACAGACCCCATAGGAACAGTGACGGGGCAGGGGTGGCCCATTGCCCACCCCAGTGGCCCCTGCCCACGCCCTGCCCAGTGACCCAGCCCCAGCCCTCACCGGCAGGCCTGGTAGCGATAGGCCTTGTCGGGGATGCCAGGCAGGTTCTCGTGCCAGCGCAGCCCTGTCACCAGCTGGTCCTGCTGCCACACGCAGCACTGGAAGTCCCTCCCTGCCGTCACCACCTGCTGCACACAGCATAGGGGTCTGAGGCCCCTCTCCAGCAGAGCCAGGGAACTGGGGAGCCACCTGACACCCACCTTGTTGTCAGGGCCCAGCGCGATGTCCTCGATTTCCCCGTTGTGGGCTCTGAACTCCAACGTCTTCTTCATGCTGGGGAACTGCAGGGGCAGAGCTGGTGTGGGCGCTGGGCAGGGCCGGGCCCTGCCACGGTCCCGGGCAGGTGTGGGGGGCAGCGTTAGGTGGGGGGCAGCAGGTGCTGCCCATCCGGCCGTCCCTGCCCGACGCCCGCTGCCATTGCACACGGCCGCCACTCCTCTGCGTCTGTCCCAGCTCCCCCTGCCCGCCCTGGTCTCCGTGCCCACCCTGGCTCCCCCATCCTGCTCTTCCACCCGTTGTGTGTGCCCACGTGCATTCCCCCACGTCCCCCCAGCTCCCCGTGCCTGCCCTGGCCCCCCACGCTCCCCGCCGCTCTCCGGTGCCCCCCGGCCCTGCCGCCCACCCGCCCGTGTCCCGCAGCCCGCCGTGCCCACCTCCCAGAGGCGCAGGAAGCCGTCGGCCCCGCCGGTGGCGAGCAGGGCTCCATCGGCGCTGAAGCGCACGGCCTTCTGCAGGGCGTCGGGGCTGAAGTCGGTGCGGACGCGCTGCAGGCTCTCCACCCGCACCTCGCGGGCCCGGCCCTGCGCGCCGCCCGCGGCCCCGCCGCTGGCACCGCCGCTGGCACCGCGCCGCCGCCGCGCGCCCCGCTCCCCGCTGCCTGCACGGGACGCGGCTGGCACGGGGCTCCGGGGCGCTGCCCTCCCCGCAGCACCCCGCAGCCCCACGGCTCCCCGCAGCCTGCCCCACAGCACCCACGCCTGGCACGGGAGGGCCCGGGACAGGCACGAGGTGGTGGGGGGGCTTCCATCCCCAGAGCTCCACACAGCACCCAGGACAGGAACCGGGGGGGCCCAGGGGGTTCCAGGACAGTCACCAAACCCCAAAGCTCCCCATGGCACCCAGGACAGGCACCGGGGGGGCCCAGGGGGTTCCAGAACAGTGACCAAACCCCAAAGCTCCACCAGGACAGGCACTGGAGGGGCCCAGGGGGTTCCAGGACAGTCACCAAACCCCAAAGCTCCCCATGGCACCCAGGACAGGCACTGGAGGGGCCCAGGGGGTTCCAGAACAGTGACCAAACCCCAAAGCTCCACCAGGACAGGCACTGGAGGGGCCCAGGGGCCTCCAGGACAGTGACCAAACCCCAAAGCTCCCCATGGCACCCAGGACAGGCACTGGAGGGGCCCAGGGGGTTCCAGGACAGTGACCAAACCCCAAAGCTCCACCAGGACAGGCACTGGAGGGACCCAGGGGCCTCCAGGACAGTCACCAAACCCAAAAGCTCCACCAGGACAGGCACCGGAGGGGCCCAGGGGGTTCCAGGACAGTGTCCAAACCCCAAAGCTCCACCAGGACAGGCACTGGAGGGGCCCAGGGGGTTCCAGGACAGTGACCAAACCCCAAAGCTCCACCAGGACAGGCACTGGAGGGGCCCAGGGGGTTCCAGGACAGTGACCAAACCCCAAAGCTCCCCACAGCACCCAGGACAGGCACTGAGGGCAGGTCCCTGACAGTGATGGAGGGCTTCAGGGCAATGCCCATCCTCAAGTCAGCCCACAGACCCTCAGCTGCCCCTCACTCCCTGCCCTCCAGCACCCAGGGCAGGCACAGGGAAGATCCAGGGTGGGCGTGGGAGGTCCGCAGCTGTACCCCTGCCCCAAAGCACCCCACAGCCCCCCACACTTTGGCCAAGGCATCCGGGGGTGGGGGGCACAGGGGAGCCCCAGGGCAGTGTCTCATCCCCAGTGCTTGCCACGGTACCCAAGGCAAGCAGAAAGAAGGTTCAGGACAGGCAGGCAGGGGTTCAAGGCAGTGGCCCATCCCCAAGTCACCCCACAGACCCCCACATCCTGCCCCATGGCACCCAAGGCAGGCAAGGGGAGGGCATTCAGGGCAGGCACAGTAGAGCTCCAGGGTGGGCACGGGGTCGTTCCCCGAATGCCTTATCTCCACACCTTCAGCCCTCCCCGCAGCATCCCGGGCAGGCGGGAGGGGCACTCCGGGCCATCCCCAAAGCACAGCGCAGCCCCGGGGCAGGCGCCCCGCACCGGGCGCCGGTGAAGCGGTGTCTCACCGTCCTTGCCGGCGGTGCCCGGCGCCTCGGGCTCCTGCAGGCTGAAGCGCAGGATGTGGCAGCTGTTGTCCTGCCCGGCGGCGATGACGTCCCCGGCCAGGGCCATGGTCATGGTGGCGCGGGTCTCGGTGTCGTGGCAGTGCAGCAGCGAGGCGCTGAGCCGGCCCCCGATCTGCTCCAGCTGCAGGAAGTGCTGCGGCGGGAGGGCGGCGGTCACGGCCCCGCCGCGGGGCTCCCCGGGACACCGGCACCGCGCGGCCCCCTCCGGGCCCGCCGCGTCCGAGCCGCTCCCGGGCCCTCCCGCCCCCGCAGCCCCCGCAGCCTCCGCGCCCCGCTCTCCCCGCGGCCCGGTCCCCGCTGCCCCGCACCACGCCATTGCGGATGCCGGTCTTGGCGGCGCCTCCGCCGCCGGCGGTGATGGCGAGCGGCCGCCGCGGGTGCAGGCGGACGGTGTAGAGCGGGAACGGCGCCCGGTACAGCTCGGCGGGACGCCGGGGCGCCATTACACCGGCGTGACGTCAGCCGCGTCACGGCTCGTCACCGGCGGGGGGGTGTGGCGGGCGGGCGGCGCGCGGAACGCGGCGGGCGGCGCGCGGAACGCGGCGGGCGGCGCGCGGAACGCGGCGGGCGGCGCGCGGAACGCGGCGGGCGGCGCGCGGAACGCGGCGGGCGGCGCGCGGAACGCGGCGGGCGGCGCGCGGAACGCGGCGGGCGGCGCGCGGAACGCGGCGGGCGGCGCGCGGAACGCGGACACGAGGCCACGTGGGCCACCGGAGCCACCGGGGCCAGCCCGGCGCTTGCGGGGGAAAGGACCGGGAGCTCCCGGGGTCCTCGGCCCCACGTGGGACACCGGGGCCAGCCCGGTGCTTGAGGAGACAGCGGTCCTGTGGCTCCGTGGGGACCCCACTGGAAAAATGGGGCACCCCACTCGCAGCCTGGGGTGACAGGGGTTCCGTGCCCCTCCGGGGAGCAGCAGGGACAGCCCGGTACAGCAGGGCTGTTCCTTGGGACCCTCCGACACCTGTGCTCCAGAACCATTTATTGGGGGGACACCAAACACAGAGACAGGTGACAGGGGTCGCGGGGGCACCCTGAGGGGTCCGGGCAGCCTCCAGCCCTGGAGCGGTGTGTAAGGCACGTGGCTGGGCCGGGGGTACCAGACAATGTCCCAGCCTGGAGAGGGGGGCACTGCTCCAACACCCCCCAGCCGTGGTCCCAGAGCCCCCTGGAGGGGCAGCCCACCAGTGTCCCGCCTGTTCTTTGGCTCATCCCGTCTGTGGATGCCACACCAGGGCTTGAACCCCCTGAGCAGGGGGGTGGCCATGACCCCCATGGTGGGGGCGTCAGAAGGAGGTTTCCT